CTTACACGGTTCAGGTTCTACAGGGATTTAAAAATAGTTACACAAAACGGGGCGTGCTGCTCTGACCGGCTTTAAAGGGTTAACAATGACTTTAAAAAATAATATAACATAGTGCAACACCACTGAAGTTTGTTTTAAACTCTCTTTTCAACCAACGGCAGTCACTCTCCAAATAACTTCTGCTTAGCTTTCCGAGCTTCCCTCGGGTCCTCTTAATCAGCGGTTTCCAACCTTTTTTGCGCCACGGACGGTTTATGCCCGACAATATTTTCACGGACCGGCCTTTAATGTGTCGCGGATAAATGAGGGAGGGGCTAATAATCGGCTCAGTCATTTTTAATGATCGTTGAAAGCCCAGATCGTAATCGTGATTAAAATTCGATTAATTGAGCAGCCCTAACCTACAGTAAACAGGCACGTGGGGTTCTTTTTTGATTTATAGCCCGTGAAAGAGTTTTGGAGCCTGTGTGGGTTCGATGTACGTGTCTGGACGTTTTCCTCGGTTATTGATTTCCATTTTATTTGAGCCTAAAATAGAGTTTTTGTTTCTGGATGGATGATGTATCACTCTGGATCGCTTTCAGTGAGGCAGTGTCAGCGCTACAACATGAGATTCATAAAGCACTGAGAGAACATTTACAGGCTGATCCGTTAGATTCAATTGGAGGTTCTGTAAGGAGCGTGGAGCTGTTGCATTGAGCCTCTCTGCAGTCATTGGACTGTGTCAGTCAGGCAGCTTATTACAGTGTTTCTGAGAGAGCAAAGGTTTGAGTTGGAGCAGAATAAGAGGCTCATTCAAACAAGAGCGTTGATTAATGTGGACTCTGTGCTGAGGCAGGAATATTAGGAAAAGGGAGCAGTCGTCAGCGTGGGCTTTGAGTGTGACAAGAAGGCTGTGTGCAGGGTAACAATGCCAGAGGACCACAGCCTGATACAGGATACACACTGATACTGAGTCACTTCAGGGTTTATTGGAGGTTCATGTAATGCTATTCATTACCCAAATGTAAGTAACTACAGGGAGACCATCAGCCTTGCTCAGTATTTGTCTGGATGAATGAACTGCTTCATCCTGCCACACGAAGCATCGTCCCTCCACACTTTTTGCTTTAAAGTCAGATCATCGGGTCATGAATTACCCCGTCCAGCTTTTCCTGTCCCAGTGTTGACAGTGTTGATATCATAATCCTGCCCTTTCTTCAGTTGTTATTGAGAGAGAAACGACATGCAGTGCTGTTAGTGCAGTGAAAGCAGTCTGTACCCAGGATGCTCTCAGCTGTGATCAGTGTTCGGCTTCATTTGTTTACACAAACAGACACTTGAGGTTGCAGAAATGCTGCGTGTGGACGCGCTCGCTAACACAGCCACTGTTGCATTTTTTCCAACAAAACAAATCGAGGTGCTGAGTCGGTTTTGTTCTGGAACCTTTGAACCATCCGCCGGATGTTTGTCATATGGGAACGTGGCCATAATAAGAGACTGTGCGTTGCATTTACTTTGTAAGACACACACACTGATGTGTCTTAGTTTCAGGGTTCGTACGGGTGCTTGAAATCCTTGAAAATGCTTGAATTTCAGATGTGGTGCTTAAAAGTGCTTGAAAGTGTAACTGCATTTCATTCTCCACAAATAACTGTCTCACTGAATAGTTTTATTTTTTAATAGATAAAGAAATAAAATGAGTAAAATGTAAAAGCAAAATGTCTCTGCCTGGGCTGCCTTGCACCTCTGTCTGTTTCAATATGTGACCCCGCCCCTCCCCTAACTGTGGGGATGAGTGCGCTAACATACCTGCAGCTGCTGTTTTAATGAGTGTTTGATGGAAAACAACAATGACGGAGTTTGCGCTCTGCAGTCACATGATAGGTGAGTCCTAGTAAATAATTTTCCAGCACGTGTACGTTACACATGCTCATTGTTAACATTATGATGATGATTTGCTGTCAAACCTGCTGGAGAAATGATTGAAGTGCACTGAGTGTGATGCAATGCGGCAGCGCTGTTATACAGTTAGTTATGGCCTGGAGATTTATGGAATATGCTGTGAACTTAGCTAACATTACTTAGCAGTAGCAGTAATATGAGTTACTCACGTGAAAGCTTGAAACATTAGCCCGTCACACAACTAGCCAACTTCAGGCTTTCTGATGAACCCTCTGGGGTCGACGGACACAACATGTGGCATGTGGTTGTTGAGGAAGAGGGGGATCTTTAGGAGTGACACGGGCGAGAGACAGCGAGTGAAAGAAAGAGAGAGCGAGTTTTGAAACATGATAGATTTGTGTTTGGAGTCAAGTTAGTGTGTTGTCTTGTGTAGTTAGTGTGTGTGTGGTCATTGTTTTGTTTTGTGTGTCAGTTCTACAAGTGAACGTCACAGTTGCTGTAAAAAAGCCACCAAAGGCAGATTGCAGTGTAAACGCTGCCTCCACATGGAAAACAAGTAAACAGTACCATAAAGCTTTGTTGTTTGCAAAACGTGTGCATATTTTTAAAAATGTACAAAATGTACAATTTCTATTTGATTCTTTAAACATGTTTGTGGTTTTTACAGTCAGAAGTATCACTTTTTTCTACTCATGTTTTAAAATTTTCTGAATGTAGATAAATTGTGCTGATACAGTTTGTCAAAATGAGAAAATAACAGATTGGCAAGATAAACCGTTTTTAAAGGTGAAATATAGAGAACAAATCAAAAGTAGTTCACATTTTCACATCTTAATTTTTAAGTGAAATGTGCATTTTGAGTTTATACATAAAAAGCTTGCTGGAAAAGCTTGAAAATGGACCTTGAAAGTGCTTACAAAGTGCTTGAATTTGACCCTGAAAAAGGCGTATGAACCCTGTAGTTTGTGATCCTGTTATTTTGCAGTCAGGGAAAACCCCCGTGCCACTCCATACGTTCATCCCATAGGTGATTTAAAAACAAGTTGTCAGTTCAGTCACACATCTGTCCGTCCTTCCTTCCTTCCTTCCTTCCTTCCTTCCTTCCAACAGTTAAGAGGAGATAAATTGATGAACCGGGGACCTGTGTCTGGGATCAGTCTGAACAGCTACTACTGCCTGATTTATTAATTTGATTTCACACAGTGTGGAGACACTTTAGTTTCTATAGATCGGGAGGTCATTGGTGTGCTGTGGATGTTTCCAGCATGTTGTCCTCTGCTCAGTGTTAAAGGTCAAAGAAAAACACGCAACAGCTGAAATGTTCTTGCATGTTGCAGAGGTCACCAGGGGAGGGCTCCCATATGGAAAGGAATGACAACAGTGATGGAGTATTATTGCCCACACCAAGCACTGAGTGGGCTTTATGTTCACAAAGAGGAGCTGCAGCCTCACCGGTACATTTAAGAAAGGCTGTGCGATGTATCGAATATACTCGCCATATCACGATGGTTACTATGGCTTCCTCCTAACCATCGAGTATAGGTTACCATGGCAATATTAAGCTTCCTGCACGTCATTCACTGCGAGGCTTTTTCTTCTCCCAACGCTCTGAATGCATCAATTAACCCCCCTCCCAACCAGAAAGTGTTCTACCCTGCGCTGAGCACGCGTTTCTCAGTCTGGATTTTGATGTTGAACAAAATGCGACAATCTGCAAAATATGCTGTGAAAGTATTGCTGCAAAAGGGAGCAGCACCACGAAATTATTCCACCAGCTGAAAAGTCATCGACTGCAAAATGAAGACAGTTTTAAACATGTGAACGTCCAAAGAAACCTCTGAATAAACCAGCTGTGATATGAACTACGACTATCGCTGAGTCCATGTTATTGCTTATCAAATGTGAAGTATATTTGTGCTCTTCTTTTGCTGCTGGTTCAGTGCAGTTTGGTCGGAGCGTGACGAAACCTGCAGCTTTGGAATCTGTGCGAGCTCAGCTTTAAGACAACGTGCCGTTTGTTTGGCTGCATGAAGTCAAGAGTTCATGGCTTTGTTGTTTGTGTTTACATACGTGTTGCAAAACATGACTGCTCTTTAACTGTGTGGTGGTTGTAGAAATGGTTTATACGAGCTTTTAGCTGAGATTGTGAGGTTTCTGTGGTTACCACACATGTTGATATTTACATCAAAAACTTGACTTGATGGAGGCTCAAACTGCAGCTCACCCCCTCTGCCCCCAGGACTGCAGGTATTGGGGCTCAAGACATTATAACCAGTGCTCAGGGAGGGGCGGGGCCATCTGCTGTGAGAGAAGGAAGACATGCTGTGGAAGAGAGACAGATTAATGACAGGTATGATTCAATGCAGAGAGGTCTGTTAACACATAGTGAGTGAAGAAGAAACACCCAGTGCATCATGGGAATCCTCCAGCAGCCTATTGCAGCATAACTACGGGAGGATTCAGGGTCACCTGGTCCAGCCCTAACTATATGCTTTAGCAAAAAGGAAAGTTTTAAGCCTAATCTTGAAAGTAGAGATAGTGTCTGTCTCCTGAATCCAAACTGGAAGCTGGTTCCACAGAAGAGGGGCCTGAAAACTGAAGGCTCTGCCTCCCATTCTACTTTTAAATACTCTAGGAACAACAAGTAGGCCTGCAGAGCGAGAGCGAAGTGCTCTAATAGGGTGATATGGTACTACAAGGTCATTAAGATAAGATGGGGCCTGATTATTTAAGACCTTGTATGTGAGGAGCAGGATTTTGAATTCTGGATTTAACAGGAAGCCAAAACAGGAGAAATATGCTCTCTCTTTCTAGTCCCTGTCAGCACTCTTGCTGCAGCGTTTTGGATTAGCTGAAGGCTTTTCAGTGAGTTTTTAGGACATCCTGATAATAATGAATTACAGTCGTCCAGCCTGGAAGTAATAAATGCATGAACTAGTTTTTCAGCGTCACTCTGAGACAGGATATTTCTAACTTTAGAGATGTTGCACAAATGGAAGAAAGCAGTCTTACACATTTGTTTAATATGTGCGTTGAAGGACATGTCCTGGTCAAACATGACTCCAAGGTTCCTCACAGCGTTACTGGAGGCCAAGGTAATGCCATCCAGAGTAAGAATCTGCTTAGAGACCATATTTCTAAGATATCTCGATATATATCGCGATAAAGCCTAAAAATAGATCGTCCTTATATCGCCCAGCCCTAATAGGAAGTAATAGAATATCTGTTGTTGGCACAATCTGGATCTTGACTGATGCCTCGTGTCAGTTAAACTAGGATATTGATCTGGTCAGTTAAGTAGCAGAGGACGCTGTCAGTCAGTTTCAGTGTTAATGGAAATGACAACAGCTGCAACAATGAGACAGGAATGCTTGTACAGGTGGAGCCCACTGACATGCTTCCACTCCTCACCTTTTGAATGTTTTTCACTAGTTTCATATTTGGTCAGGGTCACTACTGGCAGCATGAGGCGATGCCCTGGAGAGGTTAGAGATACAGGAACAAAGACAATCATTTGTGCAACCTTTGATTGGACAGCACGGGTGTCAGCTGGCTGAGTCAGAGACATGATTATTCAGTGACATACAATAACTCCTCCCGACATTTATTCATAACCAGCATGTATCAGACGTTAGCCATCAGTTAATACTGCAGCTTTCACCGATGGGTTTCAGTTTGTGTTGCTTGATAAATGCGTTGCTCTGCTCTGCCTTCACAGCAGTCATGCTGAAATATTGAGGCAGTGGGCCCTGATGCCAAACCAACGATGAGGTATGACAAGGGACAGTCCAACAGCAAATACTGCGTTACCTGTGCTGTGTTGTATTGCATACAAATGACGCCACAGCAGGTGCTCGTGGAAAAGAGGCAGCGTGATCTGAGTGATTATGGGGGTGGCTGTAGCTCAGGAGCGAGAGCAGGTCATCTGCTGATTGGAGGGTTGGTGGTGGCGTGAGCTGTCATGTTAAAGCAGACTTCTCTTTTTACCTGCACTCGCTGTCTCACCTGTCTCCTGTATATTTTCTGCCTTATAATCAGTCTGTGTGATTATAGCTGCAACGCTTCAGATGACGTCTGATTCCCTCGTTGCAAGTCAGACAAAAATGTCTTTTCATTTAAGAATGAAGCAAACATCAGACTGCAGAATCATGCAAGAAGGCAAAAATGCTGCTCAGAGCTGATTTAGCTCTAAGAATATTTGACTCATTGCTTTACCTGTTCTTTCTTTAATAGCTTTGTTTTAGTTTGGAAGGAGGAGCGGCACATCAATGTCCGGCCCTTCATTGTCCTGTATCTGTCAGCACTGCCTGACATTTCTTTCTCCTGTCGCCACCAAGAACACAGACGCGGTGACGAGGTGCTGTTTGTGTCCCTGAAACCTGATGTGTGCGTCACATGATTTTAAAATAAAGCGCCTCGAGGCGACTTTTGTTGTGATTTGGCGCTATATAAATAAAATAGAATTGAAAATGACTGTGTGTCAATATTGGTTCATTTAAACATCGTTTGTGTTTTGCGTGAAGTTTTCCATGAAACAAATCGTGTTTTTCTCCACGTTTGCGTCGAACGTCCTAATGAATGAAAAGGCAAACTGTGAGGTGTATCTGGTGTTACTCTGTCAGGCATCCAGTGATGTGAAAACACCGCCAGCGTTAACGTGTCTAACTAGCTGCTGTTGGATCCCATCTACTGCTCAGTCCTTGTGTTGTCTGCACAGCCATGTGAAGCCCATGTCCCAGTCTACTGCCAGTGACTCATATGGTTGTAACGAGCAGTGATGTGGGGATTAAAAACAGGGCTTTTAGATGAAACAACACTTCCTGCGTGTCAGCGCAGTTGGAGCTGTCATTTTGAAAGTTACACAGTTGATGCCGAGTGTTTGTTCCAGCCTGTTGGTGTGTAACGAGGAACCACACTGTGATGGTTGGATATACTGATGCTTATACTGATGTTTCAGGTGTTTTCCAGGACCCGTGCATGACGGCTGTGTCATCTTACATCCTCTGCAAAAGCACCAGTGTACTTCTTTACGATGTGGAGGTATCATTACTACCACAGTGCTGTGCATTTACGTTGCCTCGTGCAGGCAGAGACGAGCCCAGACATGCCCCCCCCACACCGTGTCCATTTAATACACACCTTCACACCTTCTAGAAGTCATAAGCCTGTAAACACACAGCACCAGTGTCAGAGGTATGTTCCCGATGAGTGGAGAGACTGCAGTGTGGGCATGCTCTGACTTCACTGTTAGAGTAGTGTTTGTAGAACTTCTTGTCTTTCAAGTGCCAGGAAGATGATGTTGTTGTGTGTGTCACATTTGGTGTATAAGAAAACTGATGCCAAGATGAACAAACATTTATGAAGGTGTGGGGTGTCTGAGTAACACACTGTGGTAAACTGTGCAGTGATACTGTTTTAGTTTCAAAGTAACCGTTTCATTTCATCCCCAGAGTGAAGACTGAAGTAAAACCTCAGTGCTGAGCTTGTGTATCATTGAAGAACCACTAAGTACTTGTTTGTGTTCTCCAGCGCCGGCCCCAAAGGAGACAACATCTATGAGTGGAGGTCCACCATCCTGGGCCCTCCAGGCTCCGTGTACGAGGGGGGAGTGTTCTTCCTGGACATCGCCTTCACACCAGACTACCCCTTCAAACCACCCAAGGTGAAACTGAATGCTTGCTATTCAAAAGACATGAACGAATGTTTTATTTCAGATTGTTCACTAGAGGGCGCCTCTGTCCTGTGGAGAGTAGCTACATGAATTTTAGCAGCTTAACTAAGTTTCAGACCTCATGTGGAAACAGTTTAGCCTCATGTGTGACTCTTTTCAAAGAGTGTGTGGGGAGGGGGGGCATGTAGTGCTGGCCTTTAAACCCACGAGCTGCTGCTCTTCTGTAATGTTGACTCTTGAGTGACACTTGATTGTAACGAGCTGTATTTTTATGGAGTTTCTACCTGTGTGATCAGGTGACGTTCCGTACGAGGATCTACCACTGCAACATCAACAGTCAGGGCGTGATCTGTCTGGACATCCTGAAGGACAACTGGAGTCCCGCCCTCACCATCTCCAAGGTCCTACTGTCCATCTGCTCCCTGCTCACTGACTGCAACCCAGGTGAGAGCCTCACGTGCATACAAACTCTGTTAGACTTACAAAGCCGAGATATCGAAGCGTGGATCAGATCCTGTCCAGATATCGACGAGGCCAGGGTCTTCACTGCAGTTGTAGCTTCTGACATGCAGCAGAGCGCTAACGTTGGCAGCAGAGTCATCAGTTTAGATGCATGTGCGGCTCGCTGCAGCTTTACCGTAGTCACGTCTGAAAAGCTCGACAGCAATGCTGTTTCTCAGTCGCATCAGGAAAGCTTCTCTTGTACTTAACATAATGTGCAGTTCCATGAATTTCAGTGTTTGGGTCCTGATACTCCACGGTGTGTTCAACAGCTGCACATAAAAACTGAAAATAGGACCATTTTTGTGATCCAGCTTTACAATGAATAAAGACCTTTTGTCATGTTGTTTTCATGCTTTATCCATGTAGGACTTCAAAGGAAGCTGTGGTACAATGTAACTGATCAGGTTAAACTCCTGTGGCGTGGTGGTGCAGTGGGAAGTACTGGTTTGACCCACAAGCAGATAAGACGTTGGGCTTCTACATCAGCCACGACGTGTAGTTTCAGTGGCAGAATAAATGTGACCAGCTGTGAGCGCTCAGTAAGGCTGTATTTCAGACCAGTGCGTGTCCACGGTGAGCACTGTGGAGCCAGAGGGGTTTTTTCTTCTACGTAACACCAAAAAAAACACACACGACATGCAGCCTGTGTGTGTTTGTGATGACCGGTTTCATCCCAAACAGCACTGTCACCCACACACAGCTCTGTGTACTTTGCTGTAGTTTTTCAGCCCAGCTGGAGGTGTGTAAATAAAGTAACGTGTTGTTGTTTTGTTGACAGCTGACCCTCTGGTTGGAAGCATCGCCACACAGTACACAACAAACAGACCTGAACACGACAGGATAGCCAAACAGTGGACCAAACGCTACGCCACATAGTGGCCCGAGCTGCTGCTGATTGGACGACCCGGGAGGAGGATTTGTTTTTTAATCTTGGAACTGAAGTCTTCAATCCTGACATTATGTTGTTTATTGTATTAAGTTATCCTTTGGCCTGACTATAATCAGATCTGCCAGTAGCACATTTAGTGTCTCCTCTTTGAATAGTTCGCCCGTGCTTGACGATGGGCATTAATACTTAACTACTAGATGAAATGTGTCAGCATGATTCCCAGTCAGTGGTGTCAGTGTAAATTTCCACTTGTATTAAACTTCCAGTTAGTGTTGCGAGCTGCAGCCGTAGTTTACAGGCTGCACTTCTCAGTATTTGTGTGCTGCTGAGAATAAAGAGAAGCTAACGTTTACCAGCACCCATTTCTGCTTAAGCTCATTCACATTGAAGTGACCGTCTGAAGGTTTTCTTACTTTGTCACAGCGAGCAGTCACTCGAACACTGGGATAACTGCGCTGGGACCCGAGGGCCGCTCTGGCGTTTGCTGCCACGCTCAGACTTAGAGAAAGTTGTTTCCACATGTAGACGTGTTTAGGTGGATGTTGGTTGTGGTTTGTGTTCTGTACCGATGAAGAGCAGCACTGTTTCTCCCTTTAAGGATTAAACATGACCAACCAAAGCGACCCACTTGTTTCCCATCATTTCAGGAGCTGATAACATGAAGGGGCTACATTTTATTCAGTGCATCCTCAGACTGTTACAGAGCAGAGTACATTAGCCAAGATATTTCACCTCTGTTCTACTAGCAGCACATTAAATGTTATTACTGTCAAAACACTTTCAGGACACGTCAGATCATCATTCATCACCATTTTCACAAGTAAAGGAATGAGGCTCAATAAAGTGACAAAAATAAATTAGTTAAAAATATTTCCTCTCAACAACGTCTACAGTTAGAAAGGCAAACACATCCCTGTCGGATTAAACCGACTGCACTCCTGCGTGTACAGGAAACATGAAACATCACGAGTAAAGGCAGTACCATGACTATTATTGCTACCAGGCCATACTTGACCGCCGCAGTCGTATCAGAGGACAGGAAGGACGCGGCGTTCACACTGAATGGGAAACGACAGGTTTGTACTGGCCTCCTGTTTTTGAAGGGAGAGCTCATATTAGTAATCTAATAACAACACGTCTGCTTAATGTGTAACGCTGGGAGTCAAACCCTCCCAAATCTTTGGTTCTCCATTGTTAAGATGGTTTGAACCTCCCCGTGTGATCACCTGTGCGCACGCAGCTTTTCAACGCCTGCTTCTCTACCAGGTTTGGGCCCTGACTCCTCTCTAATATTTGGTTCAGTTAAAGTCACTGTCTACGTCAACAGGTACAGACGATAAAGGATCGATCCATCCAACAGAACATTTCATTTCCTGAAGTTCTTTCAAAGTTTTCTTCAGATCTGCTGTTTAACACTGATCTGTGAATCATTCAAGCATACAAAGGTGCCTAACTCAAAGGACGAACAAGTGTGACACTCATTCCTGGAAAAGAGCCGTCTGTGACCATAAACACCTGGATTACTTACTTTCACTTCATAGTGGACACATAACCTGTTTAAAGATCTGATTATTCTAGCTCATTAGCTAACTACTTACCAATCATGTTAGCCAATGAGGTGTGGTGTTACAGTGAGCTCCACCTCTCGCTGTCACCACCTTAGTTTCAAAATCCTGACAGCAAAGACATCTACAGCTTCATCATGAGACTTGATGAAGTGGTGATGTCACAGAGGCTGCATCCATCTGTAGTTTCATCAACAGCAGGCACAATCCAAAACTTGGCAGACGTATGGTCATGATAAGCACGACAAACTGCAGTCAGAAGAAACGACTATTTAAATAAAAATACATAAAATTCTTCTGAGCTTGTACAGAGATGAGTGACCGCAGCAGCGCTGGAAGGATGTATAACCTACTGAATATTTCCAGCGTGTCGTTAACTTAAAAAGTTAAAAAAGAAAAACTACATTCCTGTATCAGAGGAGTGCCTGTGTGACCACATCCTTCCCCCAGGGCTGTACTCGAAGCAGGCCATCAATTATGTCATCAAGCAAAAATCCCAAACGGTTAAACGAGTCCCACTGCTAAACCGAAATCCCGTCCACAGCGTGCTGCTGGGAGTGAACGCAGGAAGGAGTGTGTCAGATGTCATTGGATGGGGACCCCTTGCTCTTACGTCCAGGCAGAGGGAAGGCCGACTTGCTCTGAGGCTGCGTGAGGCGGCTGGTGAGCTGGGTGAACGGTTCGATGAGCGAGGTGCGTTCAGTGACGCTCACCTCCCACAGCTTCACCTTCTCGCCTCGTGCCCACTGCTGTGCTGCCTCGTGCTCTACCTGACGACGCTCCCGCAGGTCTGTTTTGTTCCCCAGCACTATGACCATCACCTGCACCCAAAACAAAGCCACGTCACTTTTTAGTGATCTACATTTACACAGGAGAAAACACGAATACATGCCAGTGTGGAATTTTAGAGTCCAACGTCTCTGTAAAGTTTTTGTTTTTCCAAATATCCGCCTGTCCGAGAATATTCTACACATTCAAGGGTTTTTTTAAACCAACATTATAGAAATATACTGAGGCTATCAAACTGTGAAACATGTTTTTATCTCTATATATCAATACTGTGTCTACTCGCAGTCAGGAGGCTTCATGTTCGCTTCTTACTGCGTTTCAAACAGTCGATATGAAAGCTCACACCCGTGGTGTTCCCCCCCAGCTGCGACTGTGGACGCTCACTGGAGCTTTTCCCACACATGTCAAATCATTTCTGGGCGAGATACCCAAATTGCACCCGATGCATCCATCAGTGTATGAGTCTGTGCTTAAAATGCATTTGTTTTAATGCTGCGTCGACCTCACACAGCGCAGGTGTTTCGAAACATCCTTGTCACATGACCACGGCTAACTAAGGTTTTGGCGCATTCCATCCCAGTTTGAACATCTGGCTGACCGACTGCTTTTAGGTTTGGCTGACAGTGTGCAGAACAAACCTGATGACACTGCAAAGTCACAGAAAGCTTAACAGTCAGCAGTAGCAGCGAAAACACCCACAGTGGAACTGCTCATGGCACTGTGGAGGTCCAGAGACGCCTCACTGAGGCCTTTGTTTCAACAACGCGTGATCCACTAATTTAGTGATCAGAGATCAGGCTGTCAGAATGTGATGAGCAGCGAGGATGACTACAGCGAAGCTGAAACATAAGTCAGTTTAAAACTCAAATGCTATTGCTATCAGAGTTCAGGTTTGCAGCTTCCTCTGTGTCTAAACAAAATTCGGTCAGAGCAGATAACAAACTGAACTATGGAGAATAAAATGCCGTAATGTTAAATGTGTCAAAAAGGCTAACAGGCCCTGAACTCAAACTGGTGGAGCTGCCCTCTCCACCCGTGATATTGTAGCAACATTGAGTAGCTTCCCTAAGTGTTACACGTCGACTCCTTTCTCCACCTTCATCTTCCTGTTTAGGTCTGCTCTGTCTGTGGGTTGTTATTTGTGAACGCTGAGGTTCTCTTGGTGCTGCTGGTCATGTTTTTTGGAACAGTGACCTTATTATATGCATATCTTTAAAATGATACAAGTATTCACTTTTAAGAGCAAACATGTTTTATACTCATAAATGTATAGATTTGTCTGTATAAAACCATTCAGATGATTTCTAGCAAGTTTTAAAGACACGTCCAAACATGTCTTATCTCTTTCTATTCTCCATAAGCTCCAGTTTACACTGTTTAGTACTACACTCACTGTAAAGCTGTACAGCTAAGAGGCGGAAACTAGAGCTGTTAAGAAATACTCTAAATGTAATTATATTATTTAATCAGGCAAAAACTAGACATCTGCTCACAGAAAAAGAACTTGTGAAGTTCTGGGATGATATGCCAGCAATCTGTGCAACGTTTGCCCGAGCAGACTTCAACCCAGCCTCACCTCTTTTTTATCTCTGGACTTATCTATTTCTTTCTTCAGAACGTCCACCCTCTTGAAAGACTCCAAGCTGTCAACACTGTAAACAAGCACAAAGCCATCTGCCACTGAGTAGTAGTGCTTAGGGAGGTCTTGTCCATCATTCAGTCCCTTGGTGTCATAGAGCCTGAGCTGTTCCTTGACACCTCGGTCGGTTTCCACAGAGGCCACATACACGTCCTCCTGTGTCTCGTTAGACTCTGACCCTGAAAGGTACAGACGAAAAATAAAAAGAGTTACTGAAACAGCAAATGAGGATCTTGGCAATGAAGCATTGGAATGCTCTCATACAGCATGATGTATCAACACCATGTAATATAAATATACCAAACAATTCATGTCCTGGAAGAATGTACGTATGTTATGCCAAATAAAGAGTGTTCAAAGCTTCGTCACTGAAACAAGTAACATCACGCCCCTGTAGTCCAGTCCTCACCTACACTGTGGTTTCCGTACAGCAGCTGTTCCAGAATAGCAGTTTTTCCCACAGCCGCCTGGCCGCACACCACAACTTTACAGCCTTTTCCCATGTCGAGTCTGTGACATCAAGACAGAAGGTCACGGTGTGTACAGAAACGCGTTAGAACCACAGTAACATCAAAACGACCGACAGCCCCTCAAAACATCAACAGACATGTTCACCCTTAGCTTGTACCTAGCTGGCTAAAGCTAGCTATTGTTTAGCCAGCTAGCCGAAATACGAACACATATTTTTAAATTCTTTGTATGTTTGAGAAAAGTTGCTAACTTTAGTGAGGAAGAGACGAGGCTTCCGTCAGGTCTGCAAGCGTAGAACCACGACCGGAGGATCCATTCTGCTGTGAGATTAGAGAGCGACAGGTTCTGTCAGAGCGCATGCGCAGTTCACCATACGTCAGAGCCCTCGAAGATCACCAACTTTGCTCGCGTGTACGTTATTATTTATTTATTTATTTATTTATTTATTTATTTATTTATTTATTTATTCATTCATTTTATCTGTAGAAAATATGAAAGCTGATTAAAGACAAGTTAAAATTACATTAAAAAAAAAAGTTTAGCGCATGTTATTAATGTTGACTTTGTAATTGACTCCTAATTAATATGCAGTTCGACGCAGTAAATTATGGCTCCGAATTTGTCTTTATGTTTACAAATATTTTTGCTTTATATTTGTAGGAATGAAAACACTGGAAACTGGACAACGAGCGCGTGTTTGATTCTGAAAATTACCACATAAGTGACAAACGCGAAAAGTCGAAGAGAAAAGAAGACCACATTTCCCAGGAGCACTGCGAAAAGCGGAAGTACGCTACTGCCGTTTTCCTTAAGGCATGCTGGGTACTTGCCCTCTCTCTTTCCGGCTAGTACGCCATCATGTAAGCGAGTTTTTCTGTGCTTGTGACCAAATAGTAATCCGTTAAAATCATCATGTAGACCCGTTCATCTGTATCTGTGACTCGGGCTGTAGCTTAGTGCTTTGTTATCAATCTGTACTCTGTGACTATTTCGTGGAAAAAGGTTAAAGGCTTTGATTAGAATCCTGTGCTTTAGTGGCGTTCAGATGCTCTCTGTCTGGTAGCCAGGGACCGCTAACGTGTCGTTTCCACTGTGATTTATTTATATAAATGTAGAGTTCTAGCGTTTGGATCACTGTCCCACGTACGCGTGCATTTCT